TATCAGCACAAAGCCCGATGTGGGGCTCGAACTCACGGACTGTGAGATCATGACCTGAGCCCAAGTCGGGGGCTTTACCGACTGAGCCACACAGGCGCCCCAAGAGCTGGTTCTTAAATACAGGGAATGATTCCAATAGGCAGAGAAGAGCGTCCCAGGCTATGGAATCAACAAAGATCAAATCTCAGAAACAAGGAAGTATCTGTGAAACTCTCACCTACACAGAGACAGATTATTACCATGTGCCAGTCACTACACTAACCAGTCCACGTTACAATCTCACTTAACCCTTACAGTGATGCTGCGAAAGAGCCGCTTTACTCACTGGTAAATGGAGAGTTGAGGTTTGAAGCCAGAGCTTAACTTTGCAACGCAAATCCTTCACCATGAGCTTTGGAGTCACACAGACCCAGACACAAATCCAATTATGTGTCCTGGATCAAGTTTTAATCTCCCTGCACCATAATTTCCTCCAAAGCGGTACAATACTGGCATCTTTCTCATGGAGTTGTTGCAAGGACTAAGTGCAATAAGTCATACAAAACTCCTGACACCTGGGAAGCACTCAGCTACTGTTACCGTGACGTTTTTGAAAAGCAACTAGCAGTGCCTTTGAAGGTTTGAAAAACCACCTTGGCTACCAAGGGACATGGAAATATACTGAACCTCTGGAAAAAGCTGCAGTGAGAAAGATAAACCTAGTAGGGACCTTCAAGGGTTGACTGGGACCTACTCTTTTTCTCCCAGAATGTTCTTCCTTTCCTTCTCTGCTTGACAAATACCTGCCCTCCTATCACTGTTATACTATCACTGTTATCGTGTCTGTGGCATTGCTAGTAAAATCAGCAAAAATGGCACGGGGCAGGGGGGTTGCTAAAACTTGCCTTGACAGAGAGCTCAAGAGCATTTGGAAAACAGCGTGGGGCAGGGATGGGTGTGAGTTGGGACAGGAGCTCTGGGAACTCACCATTCCAAGGCGGAGGCTTCCAGTGGGCCGTTTCCTTGGTGGGGTACATGACCGCTCCCCCAAACTGCTCTGCCCATTCCATATCTGGCTGCCATTGCCGAGAACCTCTAGGGAGTTAAAGACAGATCCTGGACACAGGGGCCTCAACAGGGCTTGGTTCCTCTGTTCCCGTTCACTCTCAGGTGGGCCCAGGGAAGTGCCCGGGATTCTCCAAAGCCAAGTGACTGACACACAGCGTAGCTTAGGCAGAACGAGCTGGACCTCTAGAGGCCCCATTGCTACTAACAGCCTAATTCCTGGTCACTCCTGGGCATGCAAGGTTAGGGATCCTAATTCCTTCCACTTCTCATCATATTCTTCTTTCCACCTTGGTGAATATGAACGCAAGAAAGGTGCTTATTCACGGTCAACCAAAGACTAAGAGGTGTCCCGGGCCGGTGCATGGCGGGGGAGGGGCATGCTGGCTCCGCGGCTCGGCCCAGGTAAGACCCGAGTGATGCCCTGGGACCGACGCGGGGACAAGGGAGGTGTCTTGGCTTGTGCTCCTCCTTTATCTCCAGCAACAGTGCTTCCCTCTTCTCGTCTAACGAGACTTTTCAGCAGTCACACGCCACCCGTGATGAGGTTCGGGAGAAGCAGCAAGGCACAGGGGGAAGGTGACACTATCACTAACGTTCAAGGGCACGGGCGCCCCTCCGCTGATTTCACCCCTGGCGGAAAGAGCTCGAGACCCTCTTTCCTCCCTCGGCCAGGGCGGGCGCCACTGCATCCTGGAGCCCGAGACAGAAGGCCTGGGCGAGGGGGTCACCGGCCTGGGTCATTCTTTCCTGGAGGGCGGGGGGGGTGGTCACAGGGCCCGCGGAGACCCCAGACCCGAGAAACCCTGGCCTCGGGGGCTGCGCGTCGAGGGCTGCCCGGAGTCTCACCTGCTGGGCTGAACGGGCAGCCGGCCCCCGACCCCGGACCGCAGCGCCTGGGCCGCGACGCCGCGGAGGCTGCGCAGAGCCCTGAGCGCCGCCATCTTGCCCCGCCGCGGACTGCGGGAAGGAGAACGGGCGGAAGTGCTTCCTGCGCGCCGCCTCGCGGGCTTCCCGCCCATTGGCGCCACGGGGCCGCCCTCTTGGAAGCTGGCAGGGTCGCGGGCGCCCGCCGACTACGTCCGGGTTCGGCGCCAGGGCTTCACTTTCGCTCTCAGAGCGGCGGCGGGGCGCGGTTCACCTGGCCGCTCGTGGCTGGCTCGCCGAGGCGGGAGCCGGAGCAGCTTGCGGCCCCCGCGGGACCCTCTGTGTGTGCCCTGCCGCCCGCCCGGCTCTCCCTCGCTCTCCCGCCCGCCCGGGTGCTTCCCTGCGCCCCGCCGGGGCCGCCCCCTGCCCGAGCCCCGCTCCCGATGGCGGCTTCTGAGCCCGGCCCTCCCGGGGCAGCGCCAGGCTTTGCCAAGAGATTCGGAGCGGGGAAAGCCAGCTCGTTTCCAGACGGCCTGAGTGGGTTAGGGAAGAGGGGGCCCAAGCGGGGCTGGGCGGGCCCGAGAGCTCCCGCCAAACCCAAATGAAAAACGAGGAGGACGCCAAGGCCACCAGCACTGGAGTGGGCTGCTGGGTGTGTAGGAGCCACCTCGGCCAAGAGGCGGGGAGGCCCCCTGTGGGTGACCCTGATGTCTGCCAGGCTTCCAGAAGCTGCAGAATGGCAGACCCAGGAAGCGACCTGAGAGATGCCTCACAGCCCACTTCCCTGGGGGTCAGCCCTTTTTCCCTCCGGTCTTTCCGACCCCGCCTTAGTCCTGGCCCCTGGCGACGGCCGTAGAGATGTAGTACCACCAGGAGTCCGATCCCAGTCCCGTATGGAACAGACAAAGCGTTTTGCAGCCTTGGAGGCCGGTTCTGTTCTCTCCTTGTGCCTCTAAACCCAGCTCCCGCTGGGCCACCCGCTGAGTTTGCACATCCCTCCCACTCTGAGCCTGGAAAGAGGCCTTCCCCAAATCTCTCCCCCTCCCCGCACCAGGGTCCCTGAGAGCCCACCAGCAGTGCAGCAGGGTGGGGCCGACGGACCCGGAAAGTGGCAGAGGCAGGGAATTCTTAGCTGTGGAGAAAGAGAGGAAAGCCAGACTTCTAGCCTGGGAGTTGACCTAATGGGAACCATACCAAAGGGTGGGGCCACATCCCTGGCTGTGGGAACTGACTGGGCCCGGCCCCGGGGTGGACTGGGCAGCCAGGCAGAGGCTCTGCCTCCCTCGTCCCCCCCCACCCTTTCCCTGGGCCTTCTCTTCCCCTGTAGTTGGACACAGTGAATGTGTTGGGGGGGGGGACTGCATTTCTTTACCCTAATCCAGCCCCAGGAGAAGTCAGGGTCGAGTCTGGGCTGCTTGGCCTTGGAGGCAACTTGAGCTGGCACCGGGGTGAGGGCTCCTGGGGGGCTACCTAGGACACTACATCTTTTGTGCCCTCTCCCTGCGGCCGACACCCCCACACGGCTGCTGCTCTGATTCTGAGGCCCTTTGTCTTTCATTGCTTAGTCACCCCCTTTGTCCTCATCTCAGATGGGGGGGTGGAAAGGGACAGTAAGAGTCCTCTGGTGATGGCTCCTCTTGCCCCTGCTCCCTCTGGTCTCCTGTCCTTTGTCTGACTCCTGCAGCCCCAACCCTCTCCAGAGTTAGGGCCAGAGTCAGGGCATGTGGTGGGTGACTCCGGAAGTGGTGGGCACCAGGGCAGGTATTAGTGACCTGAGCAGGAAGGGAGGGGGAAAGGAAGTGTTCTGGCGGATATGATTTGGGAGACAGGAGGTGACAAGGCAGAGAGTGGATAGGGGAATGGGGGCAGGGGCAGGTGATCTGCCTCTGGGAAAGGAAAGGCACCGCTGACTGCATTCTCTTTCCTGGGGATATCCTGGGGAAAGGAGTGGCCACAGCATGGGGTGGGCAGAAATTTTCCCTCCTTCTGTACCCCTTGCCTCCAGAGTCCACCCCCCCGAGACCACTTTGCTGAGTTCTCTCCCGTCTAGAACCACTTCCTTCTCCGAATACTGCCCCTTCCTCCCCAGGCACTGGGTTCCTGTTCCTCTCAGTGCCCTAATTTCCCTATACACACAGTCCTGCCTCCACCCTGTCCTGTCCGTGTCTCATGGGCAGTGAGAAATGAAAGATTACTGGATATTCCGGGAACGGTTGTGTTCTCGGGGCAACGTGAGGCCAAAGGAGGGAGCCGGGTGGGGGGGGG